AGGAATCCACTTGAACTATATTTTCAAGTGATTCTAAGTCCAGGTCTTGAAATGCTCTAACTGTCTGCAGATAACCGTGATAAAGATAAGTTCTAGGCGGAAATTCACTTGCTAAATTTCTATTATGATATGGTCATTATCGGAGCAGAAATGCGCACGTAGGTCACGATGCCATCGCGACAATTTCGGTAATTGGGACATCGCAGTGCCGATCCGATGTGCCAATGAAGAACGTCTCCTTTGCTTTGCCGAGAAGTTTAATCCTGATTTACTTTACTTTTACTTTACTTTTTACTAATATTTGCTTTCGTAAAAAAACCATATTTCCATAATTCGATTGCCGTTGGAACAGTCCATGCTAGATGATTCATCTCGACGTTGAAACGAGCAAATATGATAACAATTCAATGATCTGATCATGACCCGAGCCGTATAAAATTGACAACTCGCAAGAAAAAGCATTCCCCATGATCTTTCAACTATCTCAAACTAAAAAAATTCGGGGAAACTGAGCATATTTCAAACCGAATTATTGAAGCACCTCAATGAAATAAACATCAGTGATATCTCTGGAACGGCGGATGATATATACTGGTCTCAACTGAAAGAAGGACTTCGAAAGTAACTTCCACACTAGGATATATTAGTAGGAAATGCGTTAATTGGGTATCGGAAGCAATTGTCCAACTGTCTAAAAAGGCTGTCAAAGCACAAATATTAAGAAATCCTGACTACCTGATGCTTCGAAGAATTGCAATGACGACATGGCGCGACAGAAATTGCTACTGGAACGAGTTTGGCCTTAAGAATGAAGACGATGGCTCGATTAGGCGAGAATAGGAAACTATTCTGCCTTCTTCATGAAGCAACTATAATTCAGGGAACGATTAGTGCAATGATACGGGACAATAATTGTACGTCGATTACATAAGGTGGAATCCAAGCTTACGCCAGCTGTTGTCCCGGGCATAGCTCATCGAGCCATATGCCTGTAACTGCGAACCGCCAGGAAAACAAGAAATAATCTGTCATCCAAAAATTTAAAGCCAATAAAACTCTCAGAATAGAAAGTAGACGGTCTTCGAGCCAATCATATCATAGCTTCAACAAATGTGTTCTCTGGTATGGAGAAAAAAAATAATATCAGATGACTGCAGCAAAGCGATTCTTATAAGAAAGATGACAGAATATACTGTGATAATTATCGAGGAATTAGCCTATTAGATATTTCCGGGAAAATTTTTGCTTTGTCCCTGTTGAATAAACTTCGATTCAATTGATAGAGCAGCGCTTTGGAGGATGATGGAATGTTCCAGAGAAGATCATTCGCCTCATAAGCATTTCATCTTACATTGACATAGGTCTATGCGAAAATATTCAACTATGCGATAGACTGAATAATGGGCATGGCTGTCGGCACTCAAGATAAAATTACATACAAATCTTGAATACGTTGATGATGTAGTCCTATTTCGTTATGCAAATAATGCTAAGACAATTCCAGCAAGGACAAACATAAATAAAACGAAAATCTTTTTGTCGTAAATATAAAAAGCTGATACAATACCTGTTTTTATCAATCCATTACCGGTTGAGGAATTTTCAGACTTCGGATCCACTTTAATCCTAAATGGCCAAGCGAAAGGCAAAATCATAGCCAGGATAATTTGCTATTTTCGTGAGCGGTTATGTTGATCATTTTCTCAGATATTCATTTATTTCTAATATTCATTATTTTATTATATTGTATTGTGCTTCGTTAAAACTATAGAAGGAATACATTATTCTTATTGCATTCATCTAAAAAATATTCTTTTCAAAAGTATATTGTTCTTATCGTTTTATTCTGGGCACTTGCAAGACAAGAGAAAATTCCAAATGGTAACGAGGAATTAGCCTATTAGATATTTCCGGGAAAATTTTTGCTTTGTCCCTGTTGAATAAACTTCGATTCAATTGATAGAGCAGCGCTTTGGAGGATGATGGAATGTTCCAGAGAAGATCATTCGCCTCATAAGCATTTCATCTTACATTGACATAGGTCTATGCGAAAATATTCAACTATGCGATAGACTGAATAATGGGCATGGCTGTCGGCACTCAAGATAAAATTACATACAAATCTTGAATACGTTGATGATGTAGTCCTATTTCGTTATGCAAATAATGCTAAGACAATTCCAGCAAGGACAAACATAAATAAAACGAAAATCTTTTTGTCGTAAATATAAAAAGCTGATACAATACCTGTTTTTATCAATCCATTACCGGTTGAGGAATTTTCAGACTTCGGATCCACTTTAATCCTAAATGGCCAAGCGAAAGGCAAAATCATAGCCAGGATAATTTGCTATTTTCGTGAGCGGTTATGTTGATCATTTTCTCAGATATTCATTTATTTCTAATATTCATTATTTTATTATATTGTATTGTGCTTCGTTAAAACTATAGAAGGAATACATTATTCTTATTGCATTCATCTAAAAAATATTCTTTTCAAAAGTATATTGTTCTTATCGTTTTATTCTGGGCATCGTTTTATTCTGGGCACTTGCAAGACAAGAGAAAATTCCAAATGGTAACGAAAAAAAACAACTAGTGGGGTCGTTTCCAATAATAATGTCAGCAGCTTAAATAAAAAACTATCGAGAATCTGAGATTATCCTCCATTACTGAGAAATACGAAAAGCATAAAATCTAATTCTGCATTTGACCAGATCTGTTGAAATATTTATAAAGGTTAAAAATGATATTGATAATTTGAAAGCTTCGTCTTTAGATGGCAACTTTGAGCTTCCATAAATCTGAGCAAATATTGCAAAATATTGATGAATATTTCGAAAAAAGGGAAAAAGAATCTTGTCTAGTTGGCATAAATATCTCGAAGAAATCTACGGATGATGAGACTGTTACTGCCGACAGACTCTTAGCAGAGAATATTGTAGCTGCCATTGCGATGAAGACTGACTACATAAAGGAAGTTCGTCATCGAAGGAAGAAGTGAGGCAGGCCATGAATATTTACGATTCGACTTGAAGATAAGTACATGGTTATGTCTGCTTTGCATAATAAGGATGTGCGCTCAACTGTTTCCTATGGAAGCTTTTTGCAGAAGGCTTTAACAAAAAGAGAACTATTGCTAGACAAACAATTGCGAAAAGAATGTCATATGCGAAATTAGAATCTCAATCTGCAGAAGTATGCTATCAGAAGTCTTCAGATAGTGGAACTCAAATAGCCTCGCCAATGGTTTGCAACTGCGAACAATTTTTCGATTTCAGTTTTTTCTCATCAATCTGTAACAGCCTAGGATAACTTGCCAAGCAAGGTTTGTTGTGACTTTTTCGTTTAGACTGAACGAGGTTTGTAAGGCTGTCACAAATATCGAATTACAAGGAGCAACTAATAAATTGTCATCCACCCTTTTAGCGATGTTAAATAATATTCCAGATCTCCATTTACAGGTTTTTGTTGCTAATGTTCTTGTTGACATTATGGATAGAACATTATACATAACATTGTGAAACTTGACTTACTCCTTAAGCTTATTGGATTTCGTTGTTGTCTTGCCAAACTTCTAGTTCGTCGCGCTATTGTTTCTTCATTCTCGATCACAGCTGGAGTTCGTAGCTCCTTTGTTGAACTTCGCGTGCGATGGGTTCTTCGTCTTTTGCATTCGTTAATTCAGTTACAGAGTCTTCGGGTTGATTTTCTTGTTCCACTTCCAGAGGGTATAACATATTAACTGGTCTATTGAGAAGTTTCCCAAAAGGCAATTCTATCTGAACACTCCTGACATTCCCATCGCTACTCTTATTAAGTTTATTTATCTTTGCTAGTTTCCACATTCCGCGAGGAATATGTGGTTCATTTACTAGTACGACTTCTCCTAGGAAAGGTGGTCGTATTATTGCGCTTCTAGGAGATTTGTGTTCTATTTGTGTACGTTCCCTTGAACTATTTAAGTACTCATCTTTCCAAATTTTCCAAAATACATCAAAAGTCTTAAGAGTTTTTGACAAATATTTAATAAGCTTATCATAAGTGGTTAACTCATGTGGAATAAATTCATCTTCGTCACTGTCATTACTCATTGGTATATTTAGTAAGGCATTGGGGGAAATAAAATCCACAGGAAGTAAAATTATTGAATCATCAAAATTCACTTAAGTTAATGGGCGAGTATTCATAATACTCTCTATTTCGATCACTAGGGTAATTAAATCCTTTTCCTTTAATAATTTTCTACCAATGGCTTTTTTAAAGGCACTTTTCGTTATACCGACTATTCTTTCATAAATTTCTCCACTCCACGGTGCCTTCGGCGTTATATACTTCCATATTATTCCTTTGTTTATAAGGAAATTACTTAATGGTGTTCTTGTTTCTTGATCGTTCGATAGACTAGGTGGAATTGGCTAGCACTGTCTGATAAAATTAGCTCAGGACAGCCTCGTCGTGCTACGAATCTTCTTAACGCAGTAAAAAAACTTTCTGCAAATAAATCATCTACTAATTCTAAATGCACTGCACGAGTTGTGAAACGTGTAAATAATGCTACCCACCTTTTCGCCATTCCAACTTCCATTTTAGCAGTGACAGGGCCTAAATAATCCAATCCGATTCGAGCAAATATTCTGGATCGTACTGTTCGGGAGTCATGGTAGTCAGGCATGGGTGGCAGTTTAAACGATTTGGCTTTCCATCGTTCCGTCCGTAACATTTATTCAACACTCTCCTGACTTCGGCTCTTCCTTTAGGTATCCAATATAATCTTCTTAATTCAGAAATTGTAGGAATGCCGCCATGATGGATTTTTTCATGGTATGTTTGAATAATAATTTCTGTTATTCGATTATGTCTCGGGGAGATATGTTAAATATGAGATACAACTACCACTACTTGGAAATTGCAATCGGCTTTTAAACCTCCATAATCCCGTTACATAATACAAGTTGCGCTTCTTTTCCTCTACTGATAGTCCTTCTGATTGAGCTTGTCTGAGTAACAATTCAACAGCAAATTCAATATTCATATGGGTTGATTTGAGTTCCCTGTGACATATTGCTTAATAACCGGGGAAATTTATCTTTGGATATTAGTTTAAGAAATTTCAAAGCTCTTACGGTAGTTCGGACCATTCGTGACCAATTGCTGAACCGATTCGCATCGACAAATCTGATTGATGTTTTGGTAATAGTTTCTTGAATCGCTGTAACTACTACTTGTTCTCCTTCTTCGTCTATGGTTTCTTCGTTATCGCTTTCTTGTTTGATATCATATTCCCAATGGGGCCAGTTTGATTCTTTCTCCTTTAGCCATTCGGGTCCATTCTACCAAAGTGTGAAATTTGCCAGATCGCTTGGTGATATTCCTTTTGTAGCTATGTCTGCTGGACTCACTTCGAATATTACACTCACTTCGAATATATCGATACGCAAATTTGGCCTTTCGTATCTCTTCGACTCGATTTTGGATGAATCTTGGTAAGAGTCGAGAATGGTTTTGTGTCCAGTGCAATGCGCACCGCGAATCTGACCATAAAATCACCTGTGCATTTTCAAATTCCAATTGTTTGATAACAAATTGAGCTGCTCTTACTCCAATTAAGATTGCTAATAGTTCGAGTTTCGGTATCGTCATCGTTTTGATTGGGGCTACTCTTGACTTGGCAAAAATCAAGGACGTTGTCGGACTTTGTTTCACATAAACTGCCGCTGCATATGCTTTGATGGACGCGTCAGTGAACACGTGGATACTTGTATATTGAAATGTGTTGATAACAGCGCGTGGTATCTCCTTTACGTATGTTGGCCATAGAGTTATAAGGGAATTCCACGTTTGGCTTTCATGCTCGTTTAGTGGTTGATCCCATGGTAACTTCTTTTTCCAGAGATCTTGAAGAAATAGTTTGAAGGATATCATTGTTGGAACTAAGAAACCTAATGGATCGAAATGAGAAGCTATAAACTGTAGAATTGTTCTTTTAGTTAGTTTCTTATCAGTCCATGGTTTTAATATTATCTCTATGACATCGTTGTGTGGATTCCAACTAATGCCAAGAATTTTTTTGACTCGGCTTACCTCTGCAAGATCGTAACTGGGTAATTGAGTATTGAAACTTTTATCGTTCGAGAAGAATTCTCTTATATTCATCGAGGCCTCACTGAAGATTGATTTCACTTCTTCATATTTTTTCAGAGCTTCCTCTGTCCCTTCAATCGGTATTATGATATTATCAACATATAGGTTTTTTCTGATTTCATAGGCGGTTTTGCTGTGGTGGTTTTCTAAATGATAATTGAGCGTGGCCG